AGATGCCTAATTTTTATTTGGTAGATTATTTTAAATCATTAGACACGTATTTTTTATTTTCTTACTGAAACAAATACTTTCGACGATATATTGATTTGAAATGTCGCGTGACGTCACTTCTATATACATTTTATACGTCGAAATGACGTTTTAGCTCTACTAAACTTTGATTCGTTTTATCTAAGTATTGTTTTATTATACGACAAAATAAAAAAATACGTGTCTAATGTTTATTCATTACCTAACGTACGGAATAATTAGATTTTTAATTATCATACAATGTCATCATCCCAACTCTCGTAATATTATTCTATACACTTCATCGTCAGCCTATAACAGTGTCCTGCTTGAGTGTTAGCCTTCTCTATATGAGAAGGTCTGCCAAAATCTTCATTCGAGAGGTCAAGATTGAAAATCACAGTGTAGTCTCTAGTTTAGTAAAAAAGGTTTAGATCTATCAAATGAAGCTGCTTCTTAGTTTTCGTAAAATGTAATCCCTTTCGACTTTTACGTTAACCATAGCGGCGGTGACAAATGCGTTCCAGTCAAACGTGTTGTGACAACATGGTTAAAAGGGACAATTTCATAATAACTTTACCTATTCATAATAATATTATTCCACTTTCTCACCCTAAGCAGAATAACAGCGAAATACGAAAATGCATTCACTTTAAAGAAACAATGGATAAACGGTATAATCCAGGCTGCCATTTTGTTTTTGTGAAGAGACGTTTAATCTAAAAACGGAAGGTTAAGTGCCTGTAACCCTTCAGTTAAAAATGTCCGAGTTACTTGTCGAGAATAAATTACGGGACTTAAAAAACTTTGAAAGGTTTTTAAAAGGACCTTAGAGTTTTGAGTGACGATTCTTTCCTTCCCATTTATTTATATCTGAGTAAATGAGTGTAAAAATTCTAAATTGTTTCTGGTATTGTGTACAGAGTTGTGTAATATGCTCACCCCAAAGAGTATATCAATTACAAGGAGATACTTATTAAATGTCGTAGATTGAATCTAGGATCACGCATTTAGACCTAAAAGACGGTTGTATATAAATCAGATTAATTCATAATACTGTTATATTAATTAGAGGTAGACAAGAGCCGCGGAGGACATAACGGGTTGCAGGGGCTCCGGCTCGAAGTGCAGGAGTAGGATCAGGGTGGTTTTTAGTCAGTAAGAGTCTGACACTCCCCCTCGTCTCAACCGGGTGGGAGAAGTCAGTGAATGAATTTACCCCTTCAAAAAAAGGTATAGTTCTAGATGATAACCAGATATGTCTTTAATCTATACACCATCTGTTTGGAGCGTACCGTATCCGTACTTAGAAGGGCAAAGAAACAAAAAATTCCACTGTACAGTCACCACTCGGACAATTTTACTAACAAATTCCAAACATAACCAAAAAATAGTTTGGGAGCCTTAAAATAACAGAACTGGACCCTCAATCTTCAAGACAGTCCAATCAGTCCCTACGCATAGTTCAAAGAAATACCTTAATGATAGTCACACGTACTATAAATCTAAGGGACAACGTCGCTACATTACCGACTATTAAAGTCAAGATATCCCCAGAACCTTTAAACTGTTAAGTGTTGTACATTCCACACTAAAATTACACCGAGAAATGTTTTAAGATAAACCTCTATCGCATATGTTAGGAATTCAAAGATACTGTTTATTTTTAAATCGTAATTACATTGGTTTTTAAGTGGTAGTGTTGTGAGAGATAACCTTTATACTGACCTAGCCTAACCTTCCTCAAGCATTGGGCTATCGAATACGTTTTTTTATATGTATACCTACTAGCTTCTGCCCGCGACTTCGTACTGGTACCCCGTTTTCCCCCGTTCCCGTAGGATTTTTAGAACTTTTTCTGTCTTAAAAACCTTCTCCTAATAAAAGAATTAGTGAAATCAGTCCAGCCATTCACACATGATGCCGTGACCAAGGAAAAAGGGATTCATTTATATATATATATATATATATATAGATTTGATAGGCTGACGTTTGACCACTATCTCGCCTGGTGATAAGCGATGATGCGGTCTACGATAGAGCACGTCGTCCCATAGGCAACCTGTTCACTATTAACTTGTACGTAAAGTTTTATTCTAATTTTTATAGCAGTTTCAGAGAGTAGCGCAGTGGAAAAGCTGTACTTGGTGTTATTTTGTGTGATCATGTAATAAATAGGTCTTCCTTTTCGCGGAGCCAAGGGCTCCCGATAACAATAGATGATAGTGCAATCGAATTGATTAGGTATCCGAAACTCTTATTCATTTTTTAACCAGCAAATCTGAATTACATTCGAAAATCCTTATATAGAGTCCTATCACAAATGGTGAGAAAATTCTAAAAACTGATGAGTGACAACATCTTGACTTATTATGATACGCTGTGAGTTCAATATATCAATCTCAAGTTCACGATATCAATCCTCTTATAATGTCGATAGAACTTGTCTTCTTATTCCTACCTTTTTCTTCTGAATCATAAAATCCTTGAATACTAATAATCATACTTTTTGTAACGATTACTATTTATATCATTATAGTTTATGCCTCTAAAGTGGTCTTATTTCTTTTTCTGTCAAATTTCTCTATTCCATGTTTGACATAATTGAAAGAAAGAAAGAAAGAAAGAAAGAAAGACTTTATTTCACGCGCTAAAAAACAGGTGACACATATAGATTTTACACATAAGTTTAATAAGTAATGAGTTTACAAAATATATCTACTAATGTCCCAAGCACAGGTCCCAAGTCTGCGGTGAAATGGGACCAGTTCAGCATGTGCAAGACAGGGCCTTGCGCTGGTATTCTACTGGCCCCGACGACGAAGTGACTCGCGGACGAACAAGTCACCAATCAGACAACGATAAACATAAAACAATTTTCTCAATAATTTTTCAAAAATGCACAAAACAAAACAAATATATAAAAACAAAAAAGCAAATTTAAACACACGTGTAGTTAAATGCAACCTACCAATATCCAAAAAAAAAAAACTTAAAATAATAAAACAAAAAACAAAGTGAATTAGAGTAACCTACTGCCCCCGCCACCCCAACGAACGCATAGTCATGCCATGGGATGGCGATAGCAAGCAGGCAAAACTGCGAAACTACGCCATACGCCGGCGACCACTGAACACATGTGAATGTAACCAATTGTGTTGTGATGTGATGTGATGTGACAGGCACCAGTGAGTAATATCGAGCACGCACGAGACCGAGCACAGCTGCGGCGCCCAGTCGAGATGGAACCAGTGACATTGAAGCAGACACACTTCCCAGCCAAACAGTTATATTAATTGTATTGACATAAAGTCGAAAATCCAATAAAAAAAATTGTTAGATTTGAGTAAGCTGATCTGCTAGTCACTGTACTTATGGGATACCTGCTCCTCACCAGTTCTTTTATTCTTATTCATAACATTAGGGATAAGGGACTAAGGAAATTGCCTAATGCTACAGAGTAATTTGAAACCAAGAGTGCCGATTATGAATACTTAGCCTTACTCGTGGATCGAATCTGCATTGTTATTTAATTGATATTGAATAATAATTAATATTCTAGCAAATACACAATTTTATAATCGCTATATGAATTTTCTTTATTCATCTTTAAAAATAAAGAGATTAAAGTGGAAATGGGCAGGTCACTTGATAAGAGGCAAAGAAAAATGGAGCCAAATTGTTACTCAGTGGTACTCAAGAGAAGGTCATAGATTGAGAGGAAGACCTAATAAAAGATGGGATGAGGACATTCGCCAAGTAGCTGGAAATACATGGCACAGAGTGGCAAATGAAAGGTCAGAATGGAAAAGGTTGGAGGAGGCCTATGCCAACTGGCAAACGGATCTGCAAAAAATTTGTATTAACCAAATTCATGAGTGATATTATTTTTTTTTGTAACTTATTTTTGTTTTTTGTAAATCTGAATAAAAGGCTTTATTATTATTATATATGAATTTTCATTACACATAATAATTTTGTCTCCACCATAATGTTTATTATTTTAAGAGAAATTGAGTAGAGCTCAAACTGGAGGGGCAAAACCCACTTAGACGACGAATGACTAATACTCACTCAAAATTCACTTATCTAGTACGGAAACCAAAAACAAACGGCACAATTTTGCAAAGATATATTTAGTTAACTATACAATATCATATGATTGTTATTTATTTGTTTTATTTGAATAACCGTGTTTTATTCATTTGTATATGTCTTGATTAAATACTACTAGATAACAGACACGTTATTAGATAATTGTACTCTGCAAGCCAAGTCTGTATGGATATATAGATATCTAGTAGTAATACAGTGCAACAATCAGGACCCAAACCCGCATAGCCTGGCTACAAAGTTCAATAACCGAGTATGTAGTTGGAAAATCGCCATTTTCCCGCAACCAATTCATCTACAGTTTAAGTTAATGTTATTGTTAATAATGAGATATTTTTCGCTACACGTTAGATATGAAATGTCGTATTATATTTTTCATTAACTTTCTTTTTCATCATGAAAATCAGGCTGTAACAATGATATCGCATGTAATACCTCTATACTTTCGGCGAACATTGTAATAAATTATCGTCCAGATAACAGAGTTTGCTACGGTTTTACACAAATTATATAGCTGACAAAATATAACGAGTGTGTACCTAATATGTTTGATATGCACGACAACAACAGTGACATAAGACTCGGATTAATTTTGGCGGGATTACAGTAGAGCGAAAGGTTCACTCGGATTTTCCTCGAGACACAAGGAAAGCTTCCAATTATGATAATTCCAATAACAAGGCCCAACCTTTGTCGGATTACCAAAAGAACTTCAGTATCGAACAAATAATTACCCACTCGGCAGTTTGTTGAAAAATGAAAAACGAACATTTACAAACTTCCAACAATCAGCTGACTTTAGGAAAACACACAAGAAAATATATGCGTAATATTTATAAAAGAAAAAAATAAATAAAACGGCCACTTACCTAATTCACACACAACACAGAATAATACACACAATAATCTCACACAACTCTAGTTTTCGTGAAACGTTAATTTTCGACAATCACGATGTCCATTCACTGTATACTGTGGTGACTTTCCGCGTTCCCCTCTGTCGCCATGCGGAGGTCGCCCGGCGGGGGGCAGGGGAGCTCTAGAGCTGTGCGGAGTCGGCGACGTCGAGGTGGCAAGCTAGAGCGACGCGACGTGCACCTCCGGCGGCGGGTGCATGAGGACTGGCAACTCTGGCAACTCCGCCGAAGTATCCCCGCCCGCCCATCGCCTCGCCACCGCCCAAGCGAAAAACGTTTGCATAACCGCCATAACACACGTTTGCATATAAGACTGTAACACACTTTTAATACCGTTGTTTCATTAATATGCTAATCCTAATAGCATGCTGATAGCTTGCGAGCGTGATCAATTGGTGACGTCACTTGGTAACCGCTTTTTTTTCATCTACCGATAGGTTTTGTTTTTTGAAAGAATACACAGACTTACAAATATTGTGATAGTCGTTTGCATAACTTTTTTGTCAATCAAAATGAAATTCCTTAGTTTTTTTAAGGGGCGAAAATCATCGAATGACTGCTCCCGCCTGGGTGAGGCGGGAGAGAGTGTCAGACTCTTACTGACTGAAAACCACCCCGTTCCTTCTCCTGCACGTAGAGCCCGATTACCCGGTTCTCCGCGACAAATTCCTAGGTTATTGTTATAATCAACTGAACAAACAAAATGGATACTTAACGCGTGAGGTATATTTTTTAGAAACCTTTCAAAGAAATATGAAAAACTTTTTTATTATGTCTATGGAAGCCTTTCTTTTTTATTATGTCTATGGAAGCCTTTCTTTCTTACCAATTTTTAATCACTGCTAAACTGTTCTTATTTACTGTTACTTTAAGTTTACTTCCATGATTTCAGTTTTCATGACCGCTATCAAAGTATCCTACTTTAGTTTAGCAGTTTTCAGTGGACATTTGATTCCACTAAATGTCTTTTTTGCGACAGGCTATTTAGTTTAAGTAAAAACGCGGGTTACTCACGTGAATATACTGAGAAAAGCTCTACTAGTTTCGAACCACAGAGGGGTTCTTCCTCATGAGCAGCGTGCGCGGTCGCGGCGACGTCGCGCAGCTCACGTATACGTATATTCACGTGAGTAACCCGTGTTTTTACTTAATTTAGTATGTCTCACGATAGTTATTATAAAGACTATCTAGTTTTAAGATCTAATTCAAATCTTATATACACACAGATTATTGAATAAGTAGTTTATCAGTCATAAGCCTTTATTGCTGAAAACTTTACATTCAGTAGCATTAATCTAACTTATAAACTAATACAACAGCTATCTTAATTAGATATTACCGTGTCCTGTGACATGTGGGCCTCTTCCAGCTTTTTCCACTCGTCTCTATCTCTAGCTTTTCTTGTCCACGTAGCCTCTCCGACTTTTCTTATATCGTCCATCCAGCCTGTCTGCCTCTTCTCCTTTTACCATCCCGTGGAATAAGTAGTTAATTAATATGAAAATAATAATAAACCAATACAACACATTAAAATAACACTCGAAAAATAAATGACTAGAGTATGATTTTATTGTTAAAAACGAGACAGTTTCCATCGATTTTTTGATATTGTAGCGGTTCAGTCCCTGGCAGTATAGTTAGCGACCCCTGAGGGAATATCGTGACAACACACAATAGTCAATCTTCATACTTTGTAGTGATACAATTTTCACAGTAATTTTAAACATATTTTGGTATGATTTTTTGTTTGCTACGTGTCTACGAAGCAACTACGCGGCTACGTCGCGTCGCGTCGTTTCCACTTCAGGTTCTAGTATGAAGTTGTCTAGCCATCAGACCACAACAGATGGAGCCCTTTAGGGCTGATGCCGAAATATAGCCGCGGAGGACTTAACCGGTTCCCCCTCGAAGTGCAAGAGTAGGAACGGGATGGTTTTTAGTCAATAAGAGTCTGACACTCCGGACGGGAGAAATCAATAGATAATTTTCCCCCTCAAAAAAGAAAAAAGTATGAAATTCTATGTTTGATATTCATTTTGGAAAATGTATTAGGTACTTATTGATATTTTTCAGGTATCTTGTTGTAGTATGGTGTTTACGAAAGTTGTAAATCCGAACATCGTCATCAACGAATGAAAAACTTCAATCGTCACAATTCCAGCAACAGCGCGAATTTTTACAAATTACTACTTTGTAAAAATAAACTTTCTAAAAATAAATTATTTCGACAGTTCAACACAATAAAAAATAATCACACTATCAATAATCGATTTTATGACCAACTTCATTTTAATATTTTTCCGGCATTTTTTTAAGTAATAAGTATGCTGTTTGACTTTAAAAACGTGACGTCACAATACACAATCTCTTATAAAATTCATAGAAAACTCGCTTTTGACAGTTCGAAAAAAAGTATTGAATTTGACTAGGTGGCAAGTACCCAATTGATATAGAGGTGACTAGATGAGGCCCACACATTATCACTAATTAACAATTACTACAAAACTCACGCACATACGATACCAAACAAACTAAATCCTTTATCAGCTGCAAACTGAACTGATCTACCCGAATTTTCACGTACCAATGTGAAATACACGTGTGCGGTGTGTTCTATACATTAACACGTTGCTCGTAAACTAACATACATAGATATATAGCTATGTAGAATTATACATATATTTAGATGCGAGAAGACGAAGATCGAGCTCGCTGGGGTGCTATTGAAGAATTTTTAGTTCCGTCTCTCATTTTGACTAACTGGACAAAACTGAAAGGTACTGTTACACACGATTTAAACTGTCAAACACCAAGCGGGCACCGGTGACCGCAACCTATTGTTCTATAATTGTGTCTACAAAACCGGTACTCGACGAGTTAACAAAGTATCATGCTAATAGGCATTCTACTGAGCATGCTCAAAAATGATCAAAGTCAAACGCCTGTCGATTCGCAAACTTACCTGAAATCAAGCATGCAAATTTTAGTGACAAGTGCTCAAATTGAAGCATGCTTTACGTCATCACATCATCAGCCTATAAGTGGCCACTGCTGACCAGTTTTATTCATTATCTAACTGACGGACTAATTAGATTTTTAATTTTCTTTCCCTAGCAACTAACCTATTCAGTATGTTTCACGATAGTTATAGATATAAAATTATAGCAAACCATTTAATATATGCGTAAGTCTAAAGTTTCAGACGTTCATTATTATGGTACCTATAAATGCAATGATAATCGAACAATATTAAGGCCTCTTCTCACACGGAGAAGGTTTAAGCATTATTCACCACACATGCTCAATGCGGGTTGGCGATTACAAACTTATAATTAGAAATTATAAGCCCAGGTTCCCTCACGATGTTTTCCTTCACCGTTTGTCAATGGCGTCTAAATAATCTTAGAAAGTACATGCATATAACTTGGATAAAGTCACATTGGTACTTGCCGTTGGTAGGTTACGAACCCGTGCCCTCATGCATGACAGGCGAGCTTCTTAGACCTCCGAGCCACCACGACATTTCGAAGCATGCTTACGTGCTTGATAGTAACTGTACTTTAAGACTCCATGATGGTACGAACACCCGGAACTGAGGACGACCTAACGGTTCACTGGGGCTCCAGGCTCTATATTCAAAACCACACCGTTCCTACTCCTGAGGAACCGGAAGGTTTATAGTCAGTAAGAGATAAACTCTCTCGCCTCACCAAAGGCGGGATCAGATCATTGGATGATTTTCCCCCACAATAAGAAAACTACAACTTCCCAACTAACGAGACAGTCAAATATACCTCTATATTAATATAAGCCTATAATTGTTTCCTACAACACACATTATTCTATCGTAGAATCAAATATCAAGTGTCGACTAATTCCCGTTAAATTGAAGCGTACAGTACACCCATCGAATCCTGTTTGTAAATAGTTCCCTTTGAGCTACATTTCAAAGGGTTATTCTTGATACCGAAGGGTTGTGTGTACTTGCCTTTGTTTGGCGTACGATAGTTACCCATTTAATTAGTTAATTATTTTGGAATATGTAGAGACCTGGATGTGATTAGTTTACAAATTGAAGGCACGTGTGTCGGTATACTATTGTAAATGGCAGGCCTATTCATTCTAAAAATAGGGTTATGTAAGTTTTGTTACCTTCTAGCTTGATAGCTATTGCCATTTTATACCACGTTCTCGTGGTATAAAAAGTAGTCCCTACCACCCCTATTTATCTCTCTTCCAAATTTCATCACGATCTCTTCAGCGTGAAGGAGTAACAACCAAAATATCATATATACTTTCGCATTTATAATTTCGTCTATATTGTCACGCCAAAAAAACAATACATACATAAATAACATCACGCCTTTTATCCCCGAAGGGGTAGGCAGAGGTGTACATTATGCTACTGTACAATGTAACACCCACTTTTCACTATTTATGTTATGAGTCCCATGTAATCAAAGTTTAGGAGTGGGGGCTAAAACGTCATTTCTACGTTAAAAATGTACATAGATGTGACGTCACGCGACATTTCAAATCAATAAATCGTCGTAAGTATTCGTTTCTGTAAGAAAATAAAAATACGTGTCTAATGATTTAAAATAATCTACCAGATGGACATTAAAAACTGGGTTTTTAAAAAATTCTCAGTAGTAGCACGGAGTCTAGAAATGTGCCCGATAAATGGCAATAGGCTCACCCTCTATTACATGGGACTCATAACATAAATAGTGAAAAGTGACATTAAAATAAAAATTAGACATCTACCCTATTGTGACATGTCGAACAATGGACCTTTAAACCTAATGAACCAATGGAAATACCTCTAAATAGCTAATTATCTCAATAATATTATATTAAGCATCTTTTTGATATTAGTTCCCACAAAGTACCATAATATCACTTGAGGGGAAGCAATCAGCGTGGACAGCAAAAGTTTACTAGTTCAAAGAAAGTGTTGCCTGCTTCAAGATATCGTTTAGCAAATATACCAGACCTGTTGATTGTCTAAGGAGTTTCCTAGAAGTTCTAACAATTTAACTTCATTGGAACGTTTCTCGTATTATTAATATTAATTCACACTTAAAATTATAATTAAAGAGCAGTTTTCTTTATTTGTACTTGAATTTGTGTTTCTATTGTCTGCCTCATTAGCCAAGTGGTTGCAAGTGCGATTGCTAGGCAAG